AGTATGATATAAAAGAATAATATAAATTAAATACAAGTAAAACTATAATATGTAATGCGTACCTTCAAGTAGTGAATTTGCAAATGAAAAAAAAATAATAATTATAAGTATTCTTGTAATTGTTACTAGTGAAAATGTGTAGAGGGATGTATTACCTTTCAAGATTCTGCTAAATTATAGGTACTATTATATCCATCTCTTCATCCTCCTCTTCCTACAAGTAATTTACATCCAATGTACATATGTAAGCATTAGTACTGCCAAATAAGAAACTTTGAAAATAAAAACTTCAATAAATCATTACCTTGATCCTTCCTTTAAGATTGTATTGAGAACTAACCTAATTTGATCCACATATGATGGCTTGAACTATCTCAATATCAAGTTTGGAATGGTATAAGTCAACAACCATCTCTCTTGCTCTAAATATTGACTCAGAAGCAACTATGCTGATTGAAATAACAAGGATATCAACAACCATTCTTGATAAGTTGCGGTACTTAAGTTGGTTGCTCTTCCACCATGCTATAACATCGAAATGATGTCCTGCAGGACAAATTTCTAAACCATCCTCAAGATACTTGTCTAAATTAGATTTGACGGGCTTCTTTTATATGTTTTGTGAAACATATACTACAAACTCTTGCCAACCATTGTACTTATTCCCACCACATTCTTGGGTACTTCTAGAATCACCACTTGAACCAGTAACACTTGGTTTTCCCAATCTAATTGTGCCATCTGTACCATTCACGTCCTCTTCAAAGGAAGATGTATATTCTTCATATAACTTATAAAATAAGCTGCGGACATATGAAATATTTTGTATGGTTTCATCACTCTCATTGATCATTAAAAACACATATTCTATGACCACAAACTTCATTTTTGGGTCCATGATAGCACCAAATGCTATTAACAGATTCACTCACCCGAATACTTGTCAAAATTAGCCTTTTTTGTCATCTCCTTAATGGAAATATCTGAAGATCCTTCCCCATCATCTAAGACTTATTTTATTGTATAAATATGTGAAAGAAACAAGTTTGAAGTGGGATATCATGATCCTGAGATGATAAATGTTGCCTCATTAAATAATCCCAAAACATCACATATTGATGGGGGCGGTGGAGTAACTTAAATTACTTGTGAAAATAATTTAGGGCTCTATCAATCTCTAAATAATATTTAGGTTTTCTTTGATATAAAATTTATAAGAACCTCACATAATATATGTAAGAGTACGTGCTGAATCAAGTAATATAGTGATAGAGTAGTGTATCGATCTCACGAGGAAGAATATTTACTTGCAAATACTAGTATTGTCTACTTCAACTATAATAATTTTATTTTATTAAATAAAAATAAATTTTGGTGGAGATTCAATCACTTAATTCAAAATAAAAAATAATTAAATGAAATGCTATTAGTACTCCATATTTTATTTATATCATAAATTTAAAATTAGAGAATTTAGTTAGACATAAAAAAACAAATGAAGCATATTCATTTTTATTTATTGCACAAAAAAAGAAGTATAGAAGAAAAAAATATCACCATATATGTTCAATGATCTCCTCTACACTCCTGGAATATACATAATTGCTTCCACAAACACTTTAATAGAATGTACCTAGCACTTCTCTGAATTCTCTTAACTATCACTCATAATAAAAAATCAGAGAAGCACTATAAAACCTAAAATAAAATAAGTGATTGAACTCCCCTACTAACATTATAGATAGACTATTGTGTATAAAAATACAAAAAATGAATTCTGGTGTTGTGATGCTCGAGACACTTACACCGCGATGCCCATAAAATGAACTAACGCCACAGCGCTGAAGGTTTCCTCTTCTGTGACGCTTGTTAATATGGACCCGCAATTTAATTAATCGATGCATTGCTTCATTGGCAGATCGTGTCTTGAATAGTTACAACTGTAGTGATGCGGCGTTGCTGATGGTTTAGCGTTGTGATGTCTATGTGGCACTTCCTTGAGTTAGTGGCGCTGGTATTTGGCACCGCAGCATTATGCAGACAAACACTGAGCTTTGCGGTGCTGACTCCACTGACACTACAACACTGGGATAGTTGGATGGGCTTTGCAGCGCTAACTTCTTCAATGTTGCGGTGCTATTAAACAGAGACTGGACACTCCTATGTCCATATTTGGGCACTCCGGAATTGTTATTGATGGCGCTGCGGTGGTATTGTGTCTGACGTCGAGTTGTTGTACCATACTTTAAATTTTGCTCATTTCATTTATTTTCCTACACAAATATAATTAAAACAATACGTTTTTACTTACAAATTAATATCAAATATAATATTATTTGCACTTATCAAATCTTTCCCAGCTTAAACTCTTGTTTGTTCTCAAGTAAATAAAAGTTTATAATTTTGATTAAATGATTAACCAAAATAAAAATTGACAATATAAAATTATTAAAATATGGGATAATACATCATTGGCTAGAATTAGAAAAAAGAATCAAAGCTATATTTCTAGTTTTAAAAAATATCAATACTTAAACTTAATCAATCATTCTTGTGTTTACCTAATTTAAAATTATATAGATTATAAATTTAATTTTTAACTTTTGAATATTGAAGTGAATAATATAGTTTATTTCAAATCTTAAGCTTTCACTGATACTAATTTTTAAATATACTTGTCTTTTTCTTTTGATATTTTTCATTTCTCTTTTTTTTTTTTTAAAGAAGTATTCATAGTTCTTCTTCTTTTTGCTTTTGTGGAGTACATAGTTAATGATTTTGAATATCAGCTTCTGCTTTAGGATTCTCAAAGTTTTAAAAATTTTAATGTATGGACTTGATGAGATTACTAATTTCATCTTCAGGTTAGCTACGATTTCAAATTTTAATCTACTCATATTTAATTTTTAATATTAATTATTTATCTTATAGTTTTTAAAAGTTAAATTCATAAAGGTATAGCTTATAAATTCAAATTAGGATAACAACTCAAATGATTGAATGAGTTAAGTATTAGATTTTCCAACCTATAAAGTATAAGAAAAGTTCATTCAAATTAGGATCTAGGATTTTATTATTATCCTATTTTTTTAATAATTTTTAAGTATCATTTTTATAAGAGTTAATTAAATGGTCATAATATAAAAGTAATTAGAGAACATTAATAATTTAACCATGAAGAGAATATGCTAATATGTAAATAAACATTATAAACACATGTTTTCATTTAAGTGATAAAAAGCGCATAACAAATGTGTTGAAAACAAACATGACATATCATTAACATAATTATGATTAATACTAATATCACACATACATGGATTATCTCCCAAAAGCTTTAAGTTTGAAGTCTTCAATCAGATTATACCAATCATTACTTCTTTCAGAATGAACCAATTCAATTATTTCTTGCAATTGATCAATATCTCATTCTAAATAAGGTTTATATATATGGCCATATACATGTATTTTAATTATAATTGGGTTGATTATCTTTTAGGTTATGTAGTTTCATTATTATAGTTGTAATTGCACAATAGATCTTCTTCATGAATATGATCATCATTCTACTACATGTAGGCATTATATTTATCTTATATCATTGATACTCATTACCCATATTTGTGTATAATTGCTAGTTCTCCTTTACACTATATAAAGAACTCTCCACCTGTTCTCTCTTAGTCTTTTAGACAAATGCTGATGGCCTTTGATGTGCTCAATTATTTTTCTTATATGAGGGAGAGAACAATCTGGAAGGTGAGCATTGGACATCAACGACTAACAATTACATGGTTTTAACAGCCTTTAGATAATGGTCGATTGAGAATATTAAATATTAGGAAATGGTTGGTGAATAGCTAGATTATTCTCCTTGTAGGAGGGGAATTCGATGACTAGAAAGGCCAACATCAGGCGTTGGGCATCAATCGTTGACAAATGTCAAAAGTTGTACAATATATATTGAATGGTTGGACATCAAATGATAGTTCATGATATGCTCAATCATTCTTGTTAAGAGGGGAGATGGTGAATAGGAAGGCAGCTGTTGTACATCAGAGGTTTACAAAGCTTTGATTAGATTTGCCAGATATTTACACCCACAACAGGTCAAGAAATTATAACAAAATTTTCAAGTGCCTGTGAAATGATGAAACATGGAAGCTTTATTATGTGGGACAATAAATTTCAAATAAAAATCATAGAGGAATGAGTTTCAGTGAGAAAAATAAAAGGGATCAATTGCATTGCATAATGAGGTTCAAAGGGATCTTTTTTCACAATGATGAGTCATTTGATTATAACCTTCACTTGAGCAAATGTTGTTTGGACACGTGTTATAAAATAATTGAAATTAAATTTTGAAATTTGATTTCTCTATTTATTTGATTAAAATGCAAGTTATTGTATTTGAAAGCATTTTTCTTAAAGGTGAGAAGTTTCATAAATCACTTTAATTTTTGTTTTTTACATAAGGGAATAATATATAAATTATTCAAAAATTATAAACATAAAAGAAGATTGGTAATGCATATTACTTTCATTGATAATTATAATACCAAAAACTAATAGAATAATGTATAAAAATGAAACTCATAATAATTAAATTAAATATAGGAACTAACTTTTCAAAAAGTGTGCGCAAAATAAATAAACATCTCTCAAACTCTTATAAATCAAACTATGATATAAAAAAATAAACGCATGAAAGTCTGCTAGGGAACTTCAACTCTCTAAAACGCTGAAGTGTGGCAAAGGTTTTACTCGGTCGATGATAAAAGAATATAAATTCTAGGTACATCTCTTGCATAACAGTAGCTTATATTGTAGTTGCTTATTTGTGCTAATTCTACCATCAATGCATTCGGCATGAAAGCAAGAATAATGAAATTTATAATACTAATAAAGGAAAATTTTCTGTAGTGAATGTGGCAGAGATCAAGCATGGAATAGCATATGGTGCTCTAGAGTTTACCTTAACTGTAAAATCTTGTTTGCAGTGCGCTTCATGAGAAGGAAGTTCGTGCAAAGGGCAGCCTAACTCGCAACCAATTCTTTCTGGTTGCCTTCATCTGCAGCTTTGCCTATTATGTCTTCCCAGGTTATCTCTTTAGTATGCTCACATCCCTTTCATGGATCTGCTGGATCTATCCAAACTCTGTCTTTGCACATCAACTTGGCTCCGGCCTCCGTGGGCTTGGAATTGGTGCCATTGGTCTTGACTGGTCCACTGTTTCCTCCTACCTGGGCAGCCCCCTTGCTAGCCCCTGGTTTGCCACGGCTAATATTGCTGCAGGCTTCTTCATCATCATGTATGTCATAAGCCCCATAACATATTGGCTTGACGCCTATCATGCCAAGACCTTCCCCATATTCTCTGACAACCTCTTCACCTCCAATGGACAGATCTATAACGTAACAAGTATCATAGGCTCTGATTTCCACCTTGACCTCAATGCCTATGAGAAGAATGGCCCAATCCATATGAGCACATTTTTTGCAATGACTTATGGAGCAGGATTTGCATCACTCACAGCTATTATCTCACATGTACTCTTGTTCCATGGAAGGTAATTAAGCATCTTATTGATCTCTTCATATCCAATGAGTTCAGGGAGTTCAGGGTTTTTGTATTTGTATTTCTTAGATCTTTGTAATCAATCAATTGCAGTGAAATATGGCAAATGAGCAAGTCCGCATTCAAAGACAAGAAGATGGATGTCCACACAAGACTTATGAGAAGATACAGACAAGTACCAGAATGGTGGTTCATCTGCATACTTGTGATCAACATTATCCTCACCACCTTCGTCTGTGAGTACTATAATGATCAGCTCCAGCTACCCTGGTGGGGAGTTCTATTAGCATGCGCCATTGCCATGTTCTTCACTCTACCTATTGGCATCATCACCGCGACCACCAATCAGGTACTCACTCGGCATCCTCACTATTTTTCCAATCAGAAATATTTATTTTCAAATTCTGAACTTCTCCTTCATGAAGTAGAAGCCTGGATTAAACGTTTTAACGGAGTACATCATTGGATATTTGTACCCTGGTCGCCCTGTTGCGAACATGTGCTTCAAGGTTTATGGCTACATCAGTATGTCTCAAGCCTTGATATTTCTGCAAGATTTCAAGCTTGGTCACTACATGAAAATACCACCAAGGACAATGTTCATGGCTCAGGTTAGTTTAATTAAAAAAACACTAAATGAAAGGTTTTCAACGATCATATACAGGGGAGGAACCCCATTGGGGTCAGGGGAGGCAATTACTATGGTCTTTAGATAATTGCCACCAACAAATATTAATGAGAATTCATCATTGAACTCCAAAAATATCCTTCAAACCAAAATTTGCTCCGGGAGCGCTGCCCCCGGAAACCCCCGCAGGGGCGCTGCCACTTGACCTCCGATATATATGCCTTATAAGTTTGCCCCAATGAAAATTAGGGTTGGTTCACCCCTGAATTCATATATTTTGTTCCAAGATTACAATCAAACACATCCATACCTGATTCGTGTTAGTATTCATCTTTCTAGGTTGTGGGAACTATGATTTCTTCTTTGGTCTACCTTTGCACTGCATGGTGGCTAATGGGTTCCATTCCCAACATATGTGACAGAGAAGTCCTTCCTTCAGATAGCCCATGGACATGCCCAGGCGACCACGTCTTCTATGATGCCTCTGTCATTTGGGGACTCATCGGTCCTCGCCGGATCTTTGGTGACCTTGGAAGCTACTATGCTATAAACTGGTTCTTCCTTGCTGGAGCCATTGCTCCACTCCTTGTATGGATTGCCCACAGAGCATTCCCTTCTGCAAAGTGGATAAAGCTTGTAAACGTGCCGGTGTTGATTGCCGGCCTCGGAAGTATGCCACCTGCAACGGCGGTCAACTTCACTACGTGGATCATTATTGGGTTTCTTTCAGGCTATGTTGTGTACAAATACCATCGAGAGTGGTGGCAGCGGCATAACTATGTGTTGTCAGGGTCGCTTGATGCAGGGTTGGCATTCATGGCGGTGCTGCTGTATGTGTGTCTGGGACTGGAGAACATTACCTTGAAATGGTGGGGCAATGAACTGGATGGTTGCCCTCTAGCGTACTGTCCAAGCGCTGAAGGAGTTGTGGTAGATGGATGCCCAATCTTCTCTTAGGGTCTGTTTGAGGGAAAATTATTAGGTACAGACACTGGATGTAGAGATACACGTCCGGACATTCACTTAAAGTGTGACATGTGGAGTGTGTTTTTGTTATACTTTTTGTGTGTTTTATCTGCGTTTTAGTTGTACTTTGACTGTCCTTTTGTTACGCTTTTTGACTACGTTTTGGCTGCACTTTTGATGAGCTTGACTTAAAGTTCCGTGGACGCATTAAATATATAAAGTCACTTCACGTGTCAACATTTTATTGAAGTCTGGACGTATCTCTACGTCTGATGTCCGCACCTAATAACTTTCGTTGTTTGAGAAGACGTTCTTATACATTGCTTTTCATATCATAATTACAATTCTATTTTATTATTACTTTATTGTTGTATTCAAGAAATTTGTATGTCAAAAAATTATTTTTTGTCAGTTTTAAAATAATTGTTTTTCTGATAAGATTTTTGTTTGTAACTACTTTCCGTCCCGAACAGATCCTTAATGTCTGTTTGTTGCTGCTGTGGCTCAACTGTGTGTACAACTACAGGTATGTCATGCATGCAAATTCTATGCTGTAATTAATATTCGGGAGTGTAACACAAGGCATGGAGGAATGTAATAATTAAATTTTATTTATCAGTAATTGTTTGGATTCGTATATTTGACTGCAAAAATGAATTGTTTTGTCTCCGTAGATATTACTAGAAAGAATACAATAAGTAATGGGTAATGAAGCGCATTATGATGGTAAAAATTCGTCCCAAATGAAGCTTTAGTTGCAGATAAGATAACATTCATATTATCAATTGATTTAGGATTTTGACTCTAGGCATGACTGGCAACAAAATTTTCCTTATTTTATTTTTATTTTTATTTTTTTGGTAAAAATAAAGGTTGAGCTTAACTTCATTAATAATAAATAAATAAAATTACAACCCAAAAAATTTGACCAACATACAACTAATAAGTAAAAAGGAAAAATAGATCAAAGCCACCACAACTATGAAAGGAAAAGAAATATCTACACCCAAGACATGAAAAGCCTCTTATAGACGGCGAATTATTGTGTACGCAAGTAAAATAAGCAGTAAATACGCAGCATCCGAACCTTATTCTGCGTTCGAATTGCGTACACAATAATTTCTCCTTATAGACAGACTCAAAAAGTCCTGAACTCCACAATAAAAAAAAGAAGACTCCTACAGAATTCAAAGAAAAGATAGGGCCTAACAAGAATTACAAATTTGATTCAGAATGCCCAAATATAATTCTCCAAAATTGCATGTAAGACCATTGAAGAAGCTCCTTGGTTGCCTGTGGGCCATCCAATTGCAATGTGCAGGTTGCCATGTCGACCCCACAAGGGAAACTTAGAGCGCCAGAGACATTCATCAGTGTCTTCAGAATTCTCCATCCCCAAGAATCAGTAAAAATACATTCTGTAAATTTTTTATCATGAATGTTTAACAAAAAGAAATTGGTAACTGTAATTTTTAATGTATTTTTATTTATTTATCATAATGTAGTTTTTGAAACACAACTTGGTAAAAAAATCAATTACAATGTAGCTCAAGTAATTTTTAAAATTGATGTTATTGGTAATTGTCTGTAATAAAATCATTTATAATTATGTAAATCCTGCTTATATGTAAATAATTTAGACATTATGTAATTCATTTTATTATGCAAATCATTTATACATTCTGTAACTCTATATTTGTAATTCATCATATTTATTATAACTTAACAGTCTACATTATGTTTTTTTTTTTTATTTATAATCATGCAAATCTTCATATATGTTAGAACTTCATTTTTATATGTTACAGCGGTCTACTAATTGTGTCTTTTACTAGAGATGGTCTAAGGTCACGATCTTCCTCATAGATCTATTACTTGAATGTTTGGTCATAGAAAAAAGTTGAGCACTAAACCAACTGGGTCTAAGTAGGGTGATGAAGGACAGGGCCAGAGTGTTTCACCATTGATATCATCACCAACACCTAGGAGTCAGCATTAGTTCCTCACTAAGCAGGGTTAAGGACAGACATATCCAGCTGTGGTTAGTGTACCACCCCATGCTAGATACTTCCCTCCTAAGTTTACGAGTCCTCGATTTCTCTCTCCAGAGCAGACATACACATCTTCATTCTATCCATACTACCCATCATCAACATCACAAATAGCTCCATCAACTTACCCTTACCATCCTTACCGCCACCTCTATTATTATCCATTTCTTGTACAGCCAGAACAAGGTAGACCATCAACATAAGCAGAGGTTGGTGCTAGGAAGCCTGCAACAACAGAGGATAAGCGTGTACACATAGAGCATGAGGGTGATACATAGGTTAAATTTATTTTGTAAAGTTATTGTAATTTAATATATTATATGTTATTGACAAAAAAAATTACATGCAGCTTCATTCCCTCAAGGTAGCTTACCCACAAGATTCGTGACATCATATGGAGCAAATATGATGTTCATTACTTATCATGCAAGAAAATCCCAAAGGAAGATAGGAATATGTAGTTCATAAACTTTATTATGCCTATGTTTTACAAAAAAAAAATTAGGTTTTTGCCTTAGCATGATACGAGGATCAGAACTTTGAGAGAAGAGACTCTACTCATACTAGGAACATGTTCACCGACATTAGAAAGTCTGGGCAACGCCTATTATGGATTGGCAAGAGAGTATGAGATGATTTGAGCAGAGCTTGGGCAAGCCCTGAGTTCACCAAATTGAGAGAGAAGAATAAGCAAAATACTGCACCTGCTTGTGGGGGTTTAGGAAGCTCTTTTCATACGGTTGGTTCAATGCCTCATACTGAGCATAAACGATGATTGGTAAAAGATTATTTTAATTAATTTATTAAATATATGTACATTATTTTAACTATATTTTCTATTTACATAATGAATATCTTAGTCAGGAGTTGATACCACTAGAGCTATATACAAAGACTCACCAACATCAAGCTGATCATCAGTAGATTGATGAGAAAGAGAGAAAAACTCACATAAGTTTAATTTTTTAATAAGAAGAAGAAATAAATAGAAAATTTATTTTATGAATTTATTCTTGTATGATGATTTTATACGACTTCAGGATAGTTAGCAGGTTACTGGTGAAAAATCATCTTCAGGATCGATCCAGTATTATGAGTAACATATGTAGTCAGAAGTTGTTGGAGGGAGGCAGAGGGGGAGGACTTACAGCTTAGGTTTGCAGAGATATATTTATGAGGGTAGTACATCTACTTCAATATTTTATGATATTATTAGAGCTGAAGAAACTGTCAATCAGAGTATTGCTGCCTTGACAAGAGAGATAGAGGAGATGAGACAAATTCAAGCTGAGATGCAGACAGAGCTCGAGATGAAAATTAAAAGAAAAAGGAGCAAAAGCCCATACTTGAATCACAGGACAGTAAGGGCACGGACGATGATTAATTGTTATTATTTGTTTGAAGAACGAGTTGGTGTATTTTTAACTTATGAATGTAAAAATATTTATTTTATGTTTTAAAGATTGTTTAACAAGTTAAACATAGTTAAACTTTATGTTTAACTAAGATTAAAAGTTTGCGTAGTATATATTTTATATTTTGAACTGTCAAAGCATATGTTGATTGTGGATATTAGTGTATTTTTTATATTATATTTTGAACTACCTGAATATATAATTAAAAGTACTTATTTTATGTTCTGAATTGCCTGCACGCACTTGTAGAAAATTGTTTGGATAGAAGGGGTGTTGTCAATTTTTTTTGCAATTGTTACAAATTTCTAGCAGCTAACCGACATTTTAGCAGTAGAAATTTCGATACCGGATAGCTGAAAAAATTGTCAATTATTCTATTTGCCACCGGTAATCCTACAGTTTCACAATTGAAAACACCGGTGGTTTGACCACCAGTAATACCGTTGGTTTACCTGTGGTTTTGAGAACAGTAATTTCCGAATGTTATAGCAGCCGGAAAGCCGCCAAAAAATATTACCGCTGCTTTCGATTTCCTACGTGGTTTCTTTTGGCGGTTTTAAACTGCCAAAATTTTTCAAAATCACTAGAAAATTATTGACGGATATCACCGAAAATTGCCGTTGGTAATAGACGATTTTCCTGTAGTATTTGCTTCCCGTGGTTATTACCCTCAACACCCAACAAACTCTCGCCTCGCTCACCACTTTGTATATTCCTCGACTACTCTAATTCAGCTGGCTATTGTCATACAACCCTCTCATAAGTAAAATCATTCTCTTGCCATGTCAAATTCCATGAACATTCCTTTCCATATCACTCCACAACCTAAACTCCATAAGCTCCTATTATCCAATTTCCATCATTTCATATCCCCTCCCCTCCCATACTATCTCCCCTCACTCTTAGCTCCACTAACCTCACAGCTTTAAATTCTCCATCGTCTCCATATCCTAATTCTCCACAGACGTCTAGCACTCAACCTCACGCCTCTTACTCCATTTCCAATTCAATCATGTCCCCACCACCACTTCCTCCAAAAAGATCAATACATCCAATGCAAACTTGTTTCAAAATAGCCTCTCTCAAACCCAAACACATATTCACTCCATATACTCTTCTTAACACCACATTCACTCCCAAATAGTTCTCCTAAGCTCCACAATTCATTGGTTTGCATCATGCAATGTTAATAGAATTTGAATCCATTCAACTTGAAGGCACATTATCCCTAGTCCCACTGCCTCCAAATCAACCAGTCTTAAGTTGTCGCTGGATATTCAAAACAAAACCCAAATATAATGGCTCTCTTGACAGCCGTAAAGCATGCCTTGTGCGTTAAGGTTTCAACTAAGAATCTGGTATAAACTTTTTAAACACTTTTGGCTCGATAGAAAAAATGTCAACCCTCTACATTCTCCTCATCATTTCTCTCCACAAGAAATGCATGTTCCCTAGTTAGAAGTATCTAATGCATTCCTTAATGGCATCCTCACTGACATCATCTAAATGAAGCAACTTCCCATCTTCGATAACACTACACTATATACATGTGCGCAAACTCCACAAAGCTCTCTGAAGTCTCAAATAAGTTCCATAAGTTCCTCGCCAATGGCTCCAAACATTTTCCAAATTTCTCCTAAATTGTGGCTTTCATCCTAGCCACTTAGATCCCTCCCTCTTCACCCAACACACCACCACCACTTCTACTTTTCTACTTATATATGTCAATGACATTCTCAACACCAATAATGACCAAACCACCATAAATACTGTCGTTATAGATTTGCATGCTCAATTCTCAACACCATCAACACTTCCTTGGCTTTCAAATTCTCTCCACTCCCCATAACTACCAACTCAATCAAACACAATATGCATCATAAATTCTCCAAAATTCTGGCATGGGCAACTACAGACCTGTGGCTTCCCCTATCTCAGTCAAATCGACCAAACCACCTGATGGAAATGACACAAACCCAATTCTGTATCACCAACTTTTTGGCTCTCTTAGATACCCCGTAATCACTTGTCTCTTGATATTGTCTTTGCCACCAACTAATTTAGTCAATTCATGCACAACCACCTTAATACCCACTTTCAATTTTCAAATGTCTACTCATATACATCAACGAAACCACTGTCTTAAGCCTTCCAATATTGGTTGGTGACCTCACACTTCGTTCATTTTACTAATTCCAACTAGGCCACTTATTGCAAAGATAAAAAACTATAACAATATAATGCTCATTTCTTGGTAACACATTAGTCTCTTTGAGCATAAAGAAACATTCCACTATTCCCAAGTCCTCCACCAAAGCCGAATACATATCTCTTGTTGTTGTTGCATCCAACATCGTTTGGCTTCATCGCCTCCTTGTTGAATTTCACATTCTTTCCACCACCACTACTCTTCTGATAGGAAATACTTGAGTTCACAAGTAATCCAAGAGGAAATACTTGAGTTCACAAGCAACCCTAGCAATAATTGGCCCAAAGAAGCGAGATAATAAAAAAATCTGTATGAAATCAATCTAAGAGCGATAGATTGCAATAGAAGAATCAAAACAAACAAACTCCAAGCAAGATACAATTGCTCCTCAATTCGAGAGGATGAACATCTCTCCCAAATCTCTATATTGTGAATCTAAAGCCCAAGACACCAAGGAGACTCCAAAAGAACAACTCAAATCATGCATAACCCTAACCCTAAACAAGTCATCCTATTAATACATTAATTTCCTAATTCAAACATCGTTAATTTAAAATTTCCCTTTCACCCTAGCAGCCCAACCCTCTTTCCTTAATTTTTTTTTCCTAGTGGGGCCCACTAGTTTGGGTGGCAAGAGAAAAAGGGAGGCAGCACTTGTCTGCCTTCTATAAACCTAAGCCGGCCATTGAGCCGACTGGGCTGTTTCAAGTTGAATTGGCCTAACAGTACCGCCCTACAAAAAATTACCTTGTCCTCAAGGTGAAACTATGAAATTGTTTTTTCACCCTCTCGTATGGTTCTCACGTAGCATCATAGTTAGGCAGATTCTTCCACTTTATTAGCACTTCATTAGCTCCATCTTCTTTCTGAAGAACTCCCATCAACTCTAAGGGTTCCAAAATCACCTCTAAATCTTCAGTAAGTGTCGTCGGTGACTCCGAGCTAGCTATATAATTTTCAATGGCTCTTCTCAACTACAATACATGGAAAATCTTATGTATAGTCATTGTTGGTGGTAGTTTCAGCCAATATGCTACTGCTCCAATCTTCTTCAATACTTTATAAGGTCCAAAGCACCTTGAAGCAAGCTTCTCATTCCTCCTGTTGGTGACTATATTTTGTCTAGATGGTCGAAAATTCAAGAACGCCCTCTCCCTCACTTCAAACTGAATGTCCTTCCTATGTCCACCAGCTTGTTTCTTCATAATTTGTTGAGCTCTTAGTAGATGTCTCTTCAACTCCTCTAGCACTCTATCCCTCTCCACCAAGTACTCCTCCACTGAAGAAACTGGAGTACTGCTACTCTCAAAGTGCACCAAGTGAGGAAGATCTCTTCCGTACAACACCTTATATAGGGTCATCTGAGAAGTAGACTGAAAAGATGTGTTATATCAATAGTCAGCCCATACTAGCTACTTGGCCCATAGCTTGGGTGTCTTCGACATAAAGCATCTCAGGCAGGTCTCGAAGCTCTTGTTGACTACTTCCGTTTGGTCATCTGTCTACGGGTGGTAAGAGCTGCTCCTCTTCAGAACTGTCTCATGAAATCTGAACAACTCCCTTCAAAACTGGCTGAGAAACACCTTATCACTATCTAATAC